CTCGTACAGTGTTTTTTCTCCTGCAGGCCATTCACACTGGAGTCAGTGATGAAGACGAAATGGTGCGATCTGTTCGTGCTCGGATTGATGCAATGTGCTGAGGAGGTTGGACTGTCTCGGATGCTCGAAGCGATGAACAGTCATCTGGCAGCTTGCAGTCGCGTCGGTAAGTTGCGTTTAACTTATTTTGAAGCAACTCAAAAGCATTTTCTACAGAATATTAGGCGCGTAAGAATAAAGGAGGTAAATGGCTCATTACGGAACGCACATTTCCCATTGCAATTCGTGGGTATTGGGGTTCCGAGAAGGAAGGGTATGTGTTAGTCGACTTCGCGGATCGAAGAAGGAAAGCTTCTTGATCACACCACTTAGAAACGAGCATTATGTGAGGGCGCAGTTTGTCGACGGGGGGCATTTGCTTTTCATAGATGTGCCGACCCATCTAGGTAGCCTTTTCTCGAGTTGACACGTTTTAGGATGGTGGCTAGACGATCTTACTCCAGCTTCACAGTTTTACCATGGTGAGATTCGTAAACCGGAACTAGGGAAGCAATGTTAGTACAAAATGCCCCCCCCGTCGCTAAACAGCGCCTTATGTGAGCATATGAAGAAGAGTGGGCGCGTCCCGGTGAGCTTAGGCAACTCGATTCCTGTGATCACGATGTTATCACATCCTTCTTCTTATCACGTCACTTTCACCTTTGGAACCTCACCCTTTCCTATCATGAGGGTGAGTTATTATTCTCAGTCTAGGCGACACCTGAGTTTGAGAATGAGTTCGGAACTACTGGAGCAGCAACAACACTGAAATGAGGACCTTGTTATATTCACTTATTTTCGTTTGCGGCAGAGGTAGTGTAGTGGCAAGTGGCACGCTTTCCACGCGCGTGATTCGCGGTTCAAATCCCGGGTCGCTTCTGTCCAGAGGAGCGAACCCTTCTACGGATGCCCACCCAGGATCCCTTGGCGCTCTTGCCACACATTTTGATGCGGCGAAATTGGTGCAGCCTTCGTGGACATAAACTAAATATCTTGTACATAGGGAGGATTCTGCGTTTCTCAGCTCGCAAGGTTCTGCACTTTACGATGAATTTCATTTCTTAAGTTTTCAATAAAAAATTTTTAATAAAGGAATCGTAGTTTCTGAAGGCGTTTGCCAAGACCTTTGTTTGCGGGACCGAACCCTGTTTAACTTTGAGTAATACTCTGTGGTTCTTTTGTCATTAAATCCTTGATACCCTACATCAGTTGTAATAATGAGCTAGTCATTTATGTTCCGCTCACAGTTTACGTTTTCTATTCCCTACCCTTCGGATTACCGGTGTAATTGGAAGTGATTATTGGATGAATTGTTTCAATAATGTGCTTTTCAACTCTGCAGGCACCAAAAAGGCAATTTTTCCCGAAATGTCAGTCTAATAAAGCATATGTGACAATCTCGGGAGGCTAACAAGCTCAGTGCATTACAACCTACTTTCTCTAGTTCTGTTTTGCCAAGTTATGTTTCGCCGAAATTCGCCTAAAGAGGGTTTGAAGAATATTCTGAGTTAGGTTTCGAGGTGCTCGCCGTTGTTGAAGATAACACATTCTATTTGGCCCGACAGTGAACGAAAAATGTTGCCTCTGCCTCTGCTGGCGCAATGTCTGCAAAGCATCGTGTGTGCTGCGGACCTCCGTGTCGAGTTTCTTGAAGACATCCACGACAGTCGTAGCGGTGTAAGATTGCGCTATCGTGGAACAGCATGAATTGGTTTCATTGTCAGACATGGGATCTTTCCAGGTAATTAGCCTCGCATACTCGGTCAAGCTTGGCTATCCTGAAGTTTGCCAAGGGATTGAGCTTCTCGTTCTTTTCCAGCATTTCCCAATACATGCATCGTCACAGGACGTCACACCACCTTAAAAAGTGGGCCAGAGCGGAACATGTCGCCCAGGTCAAAATTGCCTTTCTTAATCTTGCCAAATCACTCGAGAAGCACCTGATACCCAGGCAGAGCGCAGGTAGCCCGAGCGCTTCCCGTGGCTTTTGACCGCTTTCTCGCCGAGAGTGGTGAACATGCTAATTTTTGCCACCCAGAATGTTCTATTGGGAAGCATGAATTTGGGGAAATTTCGGTTGCAGAACAAATG